CAAGTAAGGTCTGGAGTGTTCATTTGTACTCAGTGGGAGGAATACAGGAAAGAGTGTCTTCTCGGCTCCCCTGACGCAGGCCCTGTGAGCTCCTCAGGGCTGGGCCCCCCCCGCCCCCCGCCCCCCAAGCCTTGTGATCACCACATGAACGCCCCCGACCCGCCACATCAGACCACGTGTCGTCCCGGGAAGCTGCTGTGCTCTCAGCTGGCCTTCCCGCTCCCTCCCTTGTCTGCCTGTGGTATTTCTGTTCCCTTCATTTGGGTTTTCTCTGTAAATCTACCCGGACAGTTCAAACACTTCTTTCCTCAGGCAGAATTTTGCCTCTTCTGTCTTATGTAGTCGTTTCAGTTACCTCTGCACCTATACTTCTGTCTTATGTTGTCATTATTTGTCTTTTTCTGACCAGACTGTGAGCTGCCTTAGAGGGCTGGGATGCCACCCTGTCCATCTTTGTCCCCAATAACTAGTGCAGTAGCTGCTTAAGAATTCTTTGTTGGATGGATGGATGGATATGGTTCTCGTTTCCCATCCGAGTTGTTAAGTACGTTTGTTCCCCATCCCCTCACCGCACCACCATACACACCAGCCCCCACTGACACTGTGCTCAGGCCTGCGGCTTCTGCCGTGGACTGAGAACCCCGCAGTCTTGCCTGGCCCATCGCAGTCTGTTGACCTCACTGATCTGTCTGTCCTGTGTTCACAGCCTTTGAGTTCCTCTGAACACAGAATCAGTGGTGAGCTTTAGTTCTAGCATGGTATCTTACTGAGAATGGGAGCGATCATTTTTGTATTTATTATGTCAGCACCTAATAAAGTGACGTTCAGACCCAGGCACCTAATAAATATTCTTTAATGACAGTGATGAGGAGATGAGTCTTGGTTGTTCGTTGGCTGTCGTTCTTGCTGAAAAGCATTTCCAGAAGTGCCCTGTGGATCCCAGGAGGTGTTACGTTGTCTGCATCTGGGGCTGGTGGTGGGAGAGCGCTGCGTTCCCTGCTGGGTAGGTTCTGAAGGCTCCTCTCGCTCACGCTTCCGTGCAGTCGGTCCGTGTTCCTGAGAACTGAGCCCAGCACAGGACCCAGCTCTCCCTGGGAAGCAGAAATTTCCTTTCCTTTGAGAAAGGAAATTGAAACAGTTTCTTCTCTTTTTAGGTCACAAATGACCTCAGTTAAGGCAGCAGATCTGTTCAGGGAGAAAGAAGATGGGCGCTGAAGAGAAGGAACAGAGTATATGATTGGTGGTTAGAGCCAGCCGGGGCGGGGTACCCAGCTAGGACCAAAACTGGGATCAGGAGCACCGCACCTCTGAGCCACTTGCGCCCGTTTGACTTCCTTGCTGCTTTTTCCTCTCAGTGAGTGTTTGCACTCCTTCCTGTGTTCACGCAAAGCCATGCAAGTGTTCCAGGAAACCAGTTTCGAGAAGGTGGGAATAAATAATCAGGGTTCAGTGTCCTCTGACACCAGAGATGCATGTTCTGTGGACAGCCATGCGGTTCTTGGGTTTGCGTTGGTTTCGGGGGGGCAGGGACTTCTCTACTTCTCCTTCAGGGACTGCCTGCTCGGAGTTTCTGGGAAAATAAAAGTTCCAAGTAAGCAGTGCCTGGGCTCCTCGGGCAAAGCCATTAAGGCAGTGTGGCGCAGGAAGACACGAGTCTAAGGTTAACACTGCCCTCGGACTCAGACACGCGTTTACGGATTAACTTTGAGTCTTTGGGGATTTTCCACAACTAGTGGAGGCCTCAACTTTATAATATACTTTCTGTGTCGCTGTGCTTCCTTGTGTCTCGTTCCCTTTGTGGACAAGCATGTGGTGATCTTGACACTGCCACCTGCTTCCATATCAAGAAAGCCCAGGGCTTAGCGTTATCACCCCTACCCCTCGCTAGGCTACCCTCCATAGCCACGGCTTCTAGCAAAGCTGGCCAGACACGTTCAGGGGTGCCCTGTCCACCACGCACCCCAGTCTCCCGAGAGCACTGGCTGCCCAGCTCCAGGCGTCCCCAAACGGGCCTCAGAAGCGCCTTCTAGGACAAGAGGGGCCATCGCCCCCTCCTCCTCTCCCTTCTTGGAAGGGGCTCTCGGATTCGCTGAACTTGCTGTCACAGAGCAGAATTAGACATGGGGAGCGCAGAGTGGGCTCTTCAAGGGCCGACAGAATCCGCCTCGCCCATCACCTGGGCTGGGGTCCACTACCCGGTGAATGGCCTCACGGGTTACTGCAGTGTTAGTTTCCTCACGTGTAGAATTGGAAGAGTGGTACCTGCCCCATGGTTATTAAGATCCAGTGAGATTATGTTATTAAATGAAGCCGTCTTTGGGGGTCAGTGATCACTGTGTTGATTTTTTTTTTTTTTTTGGTCTTCATTTCTGGTTCTTTTGCTCAAGCTCTGAGCAAATAATGAGCTGCTCTGGTCTTCTCGTTCCCCTCTTGGCTCGTCTCCTGGTATCAGTGCTGGAGGCTGCGCCTTCAGCCTCACGTGAGCTCACCTTTCTGACCATGGCTCTGCGGCCTGCAGCCACTGCACGCCTCCTCTGAGCCTCCCTCCCACCGGTTTGTGCTCAGCGCAGTGGTCGAGCCGGCCTTGCCACAGCTCCTGCCCTCTGCCCTGCTTCTCGGCTTCCCTGCCTCCGCATCCAGTGGGTCATTCTTCTCCACCTTCTGAAGAAATTAGGAAACCAGCCCAGAGGAGAGCAAGAACGCCAACCTGAGCGTGAGAGACACTGAGGTTGAGAACCTTCCTCTGCCACTCTTTGCCTTTCCTTTTGTCTCCGAGCCTGCCCGCGGCTGTAAAACTGAACACTGCACTCCCCACGGAGTCACTAGGAACATCCGACTGGACAGCACTCAAAGTGTCCAGAGTGGTGCCCGCTGCAGCAGCAGGCAGTCAGGTGCGCCTGACACGTGTCCCCACGCCCGGTGTCACACGCCGGTGTACCTGAGGGTGGCACAGCCCTTTTCCATGGAAAAAGTCGTTGCAGTGTGAGCCGGCGCTCCACACACCGGCTGTGCGCACGCCCCCGTGGACGGCAGCGTGGGCTGTGGCGCGGCCGGCCCCGGGGCTGGTGCGGAAACTCGCAGGCCCCTGAGCGACCCTCGCCCAGGCTCAGCCAGGTCACCTTGCAGGATGCCGGCAGCACCCCGCACGTGGCGGTGAGGGTGCCCCCGGCCCAGGGCGCTGTCAGTCTCCACGCGGGAATTCAGAAGCGGGCGGAGTCTACTCTGCAGAGGAAGACGAGCCGCAGAAAGCAGCCTTCCCCCATCAGCCATCAGTGACAGGAACACAGACGTCCTCGTTTTCTGTCGGGGATCTCTGTGAGGTTCCGAGCCCAGATGAGAGCCTAATCCTGGCTGCTCAAGGGAAAGTTCAAAGCTCGCAGAGTCCGGTTTTCTGTCACCAGGGTACAGCTGTGTATCCATTCCCCGTGGAACAGCCAGTAGATCATTGAGTGAGTCACGGGCTGGGTGCCCTCGGCGGCACTGCAGTCACTGTCAGAGGGGAAAGGAGGACACAGCCCCTGCCATGCCCGAGGGAGCTGGCTGGTGGTAGTTGAAAGACACATGGTGCGTCTCTCTGCAGTGTCAGACGGCGATGCGCTGTGGAGGAGAAGGCAGAAGGGCAGCTGGGGGCAGGGCGGCGGGCACTGAGTCCCTTTCTGCTTCTGAGTCCTTACCGTCCTCCGCGAGAGCACGGCTGTGTGTGTGTGCCCTGCTGTCCATCACCCTGCGCCCAGCAGGGCTTTCGGAGGCTGATGCTGGACTCTCGCCAGCTGTACTCAGCAGAAGCAGATGCAGGCTGGCCTGCTGGCCCACAGAGATACCCAGACCTTCAGACCAGAGCTGAGTGGGCTCTGGGAGCTTGTCGAGGGAGCCTGTGTTCTGGTTTTCCTTAGAGATCATTTGTTAAATCTAGAGCTCCCCCTGCTGTTTAGGAGGTGGGGTGCTCTCAGCTGACCTTTCAAAATGATGGTTTCTTTTTAATCCTAAGATTTAAAGACTTAAAAAAAAAAATTATCGCGGGGACGTTTGGAGCTTCCTTCTGGTTCGGCTGCTGTTGAGGCCCAGCCCGGGGGTGGGGTAGGGTGAGGGGGCAGGGGCCCCGGTAGGATGGGGTCAAGTCTGTGCTCTGGCTACTTTTAGCGTCTCCTGGTGCTGCTCTCCCACCACAGCCGGCAGCCCCTTACACACCGTCTCACAGCTGCTGTGAAACCGTGGGGCGGCAGAACTGAAACTGACCCCCCTGTCTGGTGAATTTCTTGAAGTGAGCCAGGCCAGGCCGTTCCCTCTTCAAGCTCAGGGTATCCCCACTCATCATTTGCCGAACTGGCCTCACAGCGCTGCATTTGTAGAGGGTCCGGCTCTGGTCTCCCGCCCCAGGCATGCTCTGCCAAGTGGCGAGCTGTGGCCTGTGGGGTGGTTGCTCCAAAACAGAGCCGGGTCTCTGGCGGGACTCCAGGGGGGCCTTCTGGTCAGCCGCTGGCTGTGTGTACCACAGTCAGCCATACAAGCCCGGTGAAGGTTTTAGTCCTTCAAGATGAAATGAGAGTTAATTTTAGCAGCACTGTTAACACCAGCTGAACTGAAGAAGGAAACAGCACCTCAGTAGACGTGTGTCCCTTTGGTTGAGCTGCCCCAGTCACACCGTCTGGTGCGTGGTGATTCCTGATGAGGTTGAAGGAGGACAGTGGGGCACCTGACTTGCAGGTGTCTTCCAGGGTTGGCAACTCCATAAGGGTTATGTTAGGGTCACGTTCTGTGGGTCCACCTTAGCAGTGACCATTCCCCATGAGGATAAAATCACCGGGATTGTAGTGTTGGGGTAGCTGAACCATAAAGATACGTGCTTACTCAGGTGCCACTTTCTCCTTCCCCTCAGCCAATATTAATAGTGCTGCTGAAGTGAAATTGAATTCAAGATGTCTTCTCCACTGTAAACTGTAGCTTACATAGACGTGATGCTTCACTCTGATGTAATTATTTTACGGTTCTTCTCCCAACAGCTTTGAAAAGTCCAGCTGCATTTCATGAGCAGAGAAGGAGCTTGGAGCGGGCCAGGGTAAGGCATCTTTCTTCCCAGGGACCTCCCACCACGAGCCCTGTCAGAGCCCATTGTGCTGCTGCCATCTTCCCTCCGGTCTGGCATGGTCCCCAGGGTCAGCCCCGGCCTCACAGTTCTAAACAAACAGCTCTGCCTTTCCGCTTCATCCCACCACAGCGTCTGCTGGCATGAAGGTTTGGACCGTGATAAGAATGAGGGTCCTCCTCTAGTACATTCAAGGGTGTGTCATGGGTGCCAGCCTCCTCTGGGTTTGGAGATTGCTGGTATTTTCCCATCTTGAGTTCCACTTGGCCTTTGGGAGCTGTTAGGACATGAACACCGGCCACGGGAAGGCTTGCTGAGTGGCGGTCCCTCTGTGTCTGTGGCCGCACTGCTCACTTGTCTCCTGGTGGGCCTGAAGACCTCCCTGTTCCCTGAGCAGCCAGGGTCCACTGGAGGTCGTGGAAGTGGAAGCGGGGCCCCTGGGTGCTGGGGCACGCTGCCGCACCTGGCTTGCTGCTCCGTCCCCCGCGGTTTCAGTTCCCCCAGGGGCCTCGGGGGGTAGTCTGCTGCCTGGCGTGGGTGGAGATAGGGAAGTGGCCAGAGTGTGCTTCCCCCTCTCAGCCCGGCACTTTTTCTTTTATGTAAAAGACAAGGGAGGAGAACCTCCCCAGATGGAGGTTAGCAGGCTGCCCGGGACCCACAGCTCTGTCAGAGACTCTGAATGGTTTACCTCCAGGGCTCAGTTTACGGTCTTCTGTTTTTATCTTGTTTTTAACCAATTTCTAAGGAAAATGATGATGAATTCTTAGGGTGAGCAGAAGAGTGAGGTCCCGGGTGCTGGGAAGGAAAGGAGTGGTTGGCTGCACTGTTGCAGCGGCTGGAGGATGAGGGAGTATGAGCAAGGGCCTTGCCCACGCCTTCCATCCAGCCTGAAGACTTGGCGCCACTTCCTGGCCTGCTTCTCCAAGGCAAGGAGTAGATGTGACCTGATTAGAACAGGTGCTAGTTTACAAGTGCAATTCTATCCTTTTCGTGTTTAGGTTCACTGCAGCTCTTACGAATTAGGTGTCTTTATCTTCACCTTGGGCTTCCCTGGTGGCTCAGAGGTTAAAGCGTCTGCCTCCAATGCGGGGGACCCAGGTTCGATCCCTGGGTTGGGAAGATCCCCTGGAGAAGGAAATGGTAACCCACTGCAGTATTCTTGCCTGGAGAATCCTATGGACAGAGGAGCCTGGTAGGCTACAGTCCACGGGGTCGCAAGGAGTCGGACACGACTGAGCGACTTCACTTTCACTTTATCTTCACCTTAATAGATGCAGCTAAGAGAGGTTAGTTAACTTGTCCAGCTAATCAGTGGTGAGCCAGGGTCAAACCTCGGTCTGTGGACTCCAGGTGTTTCTTCCTCAGTACCTGGGCCTCCTCCCCCTGCTGTCCATGAAGACCGGCTCTGGCCAGAACCTGCTCTGCCTTCTGCGCCAGCAGCCAGGGCAGCACGCCTGCCCACCACAGACCGGCGACAGGCCCTGAGCCCACGGCCGCCATAAGTCGTCTCCTGGGAGCTCAGTATCACCCCGGGGCTGGCACAGAGCTGTCCAGTCAGAGCTCCAAGGCCAGGGCCATGGCCAGGCCAAGGAGCAAGTCTCGACCTTGCTGCAGGTGTGACGTCTGCTCTGACAGTTCATTCTCCATCCTGTGCTACTCTGCCCGCCTCGGCTGTGTCTCATCCTGCCCTGTCCTCTCCTGTGCTGGGTAGGAGAGCCGATGGTCTTGACTGATGGTGTGAAAAATTCTGGTGCAAAGCTTAAGAACACAGGCTCTAGAGTGAGACCGATCCAGGGTCACATACACATTATACCAGGAGAGCTGGGCAGTGGGCTGGCTCTGGGACTGTCGGGGAAATGGTTTAATTTGCCTGGAGCCTCATAAATGCAGAAATGAGGACATTAGACTTTAAGGAACTAAAACTATGACACCACATATCAAAATTAGTTCAGAGTGAACAGAAAATGCTTGTGGTGTCAGGCAGTGCCAAAGATTTTGAAATAAGATACAAAGTTATATTCAGTATGATTAGAGGTCTGCAGAATTAAACCTATCTTCTGCTTGGAAGGATGACTAGAAACAGATATTCCTAAGTACTAACAGCGGATAATTACATGATGTTTTTTTTTAATTGTTGTCCTACTTTCTAATTTTCTAAATTTACTTCAGTGAACTTATATTACTTTTATGATAATAAACGGGATAGATTAAAACATATATTAGTAGTTCAGCCTCAGAGAGACAGATGGTCCTCACAGGTGGACAAAGCCCTCAACAGGTGCATTGAATGTGGATGCGCCCTCCCCAGGCCTCGGGACCCAGCAGTGTCCAGGCTGAGCTCCTGGGGCGGCCGAGGTCACCCACTCAAGCCACAGCTGCCTTTTGGTCTTGTCCAGGCCTTAAGCTTGTGACCTGGATCTGAGAGCTGCGTGATGTGTTTTTTCTGCAGACAGAGGACTACCTGAAACGGAAGATCCGTTCCCGGCCGGAGAGATCGGAACTGGTCAGAATGCACATTTTGGAAGGTGTGTTAGACCGGAAATGCTTCTTCATGCAGACCCTCTTGCTCACTGTTTTCACCCTGCACCACCCACGTTTCTTCACACTTTCTCGTTGCCCCCATTCCTCACAAAGATGGGGTATGCGGTCCTCTCCCCCAGATCTGTCTCTAGCATGCATTTACTTCCATTCACTCATTCACTTACTCAGTATTTACTCCAGCACCTGTGAAGTACAAGCGTGGTCATCCCAGACAAACTCTGCCTACCCCGCCCACACACTTCTTTCTTCATTCTAGGGAAGGAAAGGTTTGGGCTTGAGTCTGTCCATTTTTTGTTTGGTTTAGAACCCACTTTGGAGTTGGAAAAAGACTTTCCTAGTCTGAACCCCACATGTGGCAGGAGGCCACTGAGGGGGAGACACCGAGGCCCAGAGCAGGGAGGCAGATTATCCCCACAGCAGGCCCCGTCGTTTGGGTCTGCTGTGCCTAGCAACCGAGGTTGGGTGTGACCACACACTGTCCTCAGTGGGGCCCCCTCCCTCGGTCCTCGTGAAACTTCACATCGGGCCCCCCACTCTGCCTGGTTCTGCTGGTCTCTGCCCCTTCCCTGGCAGGAAGGGGAGGTGCCCTGGGGTTCCAGGGCAGAGCCTGCTCACCCCTGAATCCTCCTTCTCTCCACCCTTTCCCACACGCAGAGACCTCGGCTGAGCCCTCCCTCCAGGCCAAGCAACTGAAGCTGAAGAGAGCCAGGCTGGCAGATGACCTCAACGAGAAGATTGCGCAGAGGCCTGGCCCCATGGAGCTGGTGGAGAAGAATATCCTGCCCGTGGAGTCCAGCCTGAAAGAGGCCATCATTGGTGAGGAGCTAGGCCGCCCTGTGTGGACCCGCAAGCCGGCGCAGGGGGAGGGCTGCCAGGCTGCTTGCTCCCTGACTTCCTGCTTAGCCTGGTGGAGGAACTGAGGCGTGGAGAACCAGAGCCTGACAAATGGGTCGTGCGAGCCTGGGTCAGTGCCCGTGGCCCCACAGATCAGCGCCGTGCCAGAACAGCTCAGCCAATAACCGAGGCCTCCGTCCACTCCCCATCTCTGAACTCAGGGGTCGCCCCTCTTTCGCAGAAAAGGTGGGTAGGTGTCAGGGTTGGTGTGCGTGAGCACATGGAGATGCCGCAAGCTAGAAACCATACCTGCTGCTCCTTTTCATTCATGAAGTCCCCTCTTGGAGCCTGACCCTTTGCTCAGATAGTTCACTTACAAAGGCCGACGGACCCGAGCGGTGTGCTAGGTGCTCAGGCCACGGCCCTGCGAGGCGGACCACGCCCCTGGTCCTCATGGAGCTCAAGCCCTAGTGCAGACCCAAGTAGGGAAATAGGCCCCAGTGGACCGAGGGCCACTGCCCGGCCCTGACAGTGGGGTTGACATCAGAGGAGGTGAGGCCAAGGTCGGGGTGCAGGCCGAGCAGGAATTGAAGCATCTGTGAGGGAGGAGGGACACCTGCACGTAGACCTGGAAGGGGGGTGTCAGGAGGGGCGGGGGGCTCTGCAGGGCCTCGTGGCCACGGCCAGGCACGCACCCCTGATCCCCTCACTGCCATGAGGTTGGGACAGACGTGCTTCTGTAGCTGCTATGGGCCTGAGACCTGCCCTGGGAGGCAGCTGGAGTGCTCCCACTATAAGTGTGAGCTGGGTCTCTGGGCAGAGGGGGCACGGGTTGGCTCAAGGCAGGCTGGGTGGGGCCCGGGGCCTGGGTTAGTGGAGGCAGGTCTGGGCCTCATCTGCACCAGTGCAGAGGTGGGTTGAGCTGGGGCTCTAAATACCCTCTTCCCTAGAACTCCCCACTTCGCCCAGGCGTTCGTCTTGCCTTGTGTCAGCGTTCAGTTCAGTCGCTCAGTCCAGTTCTTTGCAACCCCATGGACTGTAGCATGCCAGGCCTCCCTGTCCATCATCAACTCCTGAAGTTTACCCAAACTCATGTTCGTTGAGTCAGTGATGCCATCCAACCATCTCATGTCAGTGTGCTCCCACCCAAATCTCCACCACATTCTACAACAGCCCCTAGTTATGGGCCAGTGTTTGGGCCAAGGTCAGTCTGGACTCTCCCTCCAGCCCAGATCTGATAAATGTTTGCCAAGAGTCGGCTGGGCGCCAGGCCTGCGTGAGCCTGGCCATCACAGACACAGAACACACCGCTGCCGCCCTCCGCTGGCTCGGCCTGACGGGAGAAGGCTGCGGTGTGCACCAGTGACTCCCGCGACTTCCCAGGCACAGGTGGAGCCACCTGGTGAGAAAGGCCCAGGCCCTGTGATGCAGGAGCCGAGTTACCTGCCTTCCCGGAGCTCGCAGGCTCCGCCCGGCTCAGTCCTGCGTGCCTGGGGAGGCTCGGGAAAGGGCTGTGCCGTTGGAAATGACGTTCATGACAGAGCAGCTGGCCCTGCTGTTGTGGACGACGCAGGACAGCGGGCAGGTGGCCGGGACAGCGGGGGCTCATCCGAGCTGGACGGGGAGGGCGGCGGGGCGGGGAAGCTGCACGGCTGATTCGGCATGATTAGCGTCAGCCCGGAGGTTGAGTCCGTGCCAAGTAAAGCAGGCACCGAAGGCCATCCCAGGCAGAGGGGCAGTGTGGGCAGTGGCCTGAGGGCCTGGGAAGTGGTTGCGTTTGGCAGCGAGATTGTCACTGATGGCTGAAGAGAAAGCGGTGTTCTCCAGCAGTGGTCGTGAGGTGGAGGGGTGGGCAGGGGGCAGATGTCATCCGTTGTTCAGGAGGAGTTGGGGGGTAGTCAGGAAGGATGTTTAGGCTGAGAAGTGGGCAGGTTTAGGGCTGAGAGGATGCGTCATGTGGAGGCTTCGGAGGTGAGAGGATGGGAGGAGGAGGCAGACGGGGGGAAGCCTGCTGAGGGTGGGGGCCCAGGAGGAGCCTCACCACAGACTCCCCCGCATACTCAGCCATTTAACGCACACACACCCACCTCCAGTTGACCTGGAAGAGTTGTGTCAAAGCCCCAGAAATCTTCCCCAAGCCTGGCCCCCCTTGGCATCCAGGCCTCCATCTAGCAGAGCAGTGGCTGCACCCCACAGCCTGGCAGGACCCTGCAGTGACCCCTGGACTGAGCTGGGGTGGACCCGAGGCTCCTCCATCCACTCCCTGGTCCTGCTGGTCCCCTTTCTGGGAGTGAGAGGCCGGGGGAGGAATCTGGGCCTCGAGCGACTGGCAGGAGGCACATGGTGGTCAGGAGGCTGTGCCTACTCCGAGCTCCACTTGAGAGCGGGTGAAGGGGACAGGAGGGGCAGCCTGGTGGGTTGCGGGCGGGGGGCATAAGCTCAGGGGCATCCTGCCCAGGTTCCCGTGGCCTCAGATCACGGCCCTAGAGGAGGAGCACTCCAGATTGTTCCTCTTCCTCGTCTGTGGTGTGGCCCCCGCTCACCTCTGCGCCTCGTTCCTCTCTGTGGACAGCGGCTAGTGCCGCGCTTCTCTCCTGACCGTGCTGGCCGTGGGGTCGTGACAGGAATCCTGAAGCACCCTGCTTGCCCCATCCCCTTCTTCCCTTCCCTCTGCGTCTGGGATTCCCACGCTGGGCCCCCCAACCCGGGAGCACAGGCCGCTGGGCCCTCACACAGGGGAGGGTGGGCGGTGGCCTCGCTGCCCCCAGGCCCTGGGGCTTTGAGAGCCACTGGCCCTGGTTCATCTGGGTGAGCAGGCGCCTCTCCTCCCCTCCTCAGCCCTGCCCACCCCTCCGCCTGCACGACCACTGGAGGCTAAAGAGTGGTCTGCTCCTAGTCTTCGGGGAGTCAGGCAGCCCAGAGGAGGAGCTGCACCCCCATAGCTGTTGCCCAGACAGTCCTCATTGCAGGGTCCCCGGGGTGGAAATACAGTGCCTGCAACAGCCAGGAAATAGGAGGTGGAGGCGGCGTCAGGCTTGGGAGGGAGGGCAGCCATTCACCGTGAAGACAGCACGGGTGCATCTTGTCTTAGAGGGCAGAGGATGGGCGAAGACACAAGGGCTGAGAAGAGCAGCCTCCAGGGGCCGTGGGAGGGGGGCCCAGCAGGTCAGCAGTCAGGCCTTTCCTGCTGGGAGGACTGACTCTCCCGGCCTTTGCTTTGGGGCCGTGAAGACGACCTTTCCTCCAGCTCGTTTGGATTCGAGAGGCAGGGTGGCTGCTGGTTGCCTCCTTCCGCTGCCCGCGGGCTAAGGGGACAGCTTCTGGCTGGGGAGCAGGGCCCTCGGCCGAAGGGGTCTCACCCGTGCCTTGGCTTTCAGTGGGCCAGGTGAACTACCCGAAGGTAGCAGACAGCTCTTCCTTTGACGAGGACAGCAGCGACGCCTTGTCCCCCGAGCAGCCTGCCAGCCATGAGTCCCAGGGCTCAGCACCGTCGCCCCTGGAAGCCCGAGTCAGCGAGCCGCCGCCCGGCGCCACCTCTATGCCCCCTGCTCAGGTGCGCTTCCTCCTCTGCCCCCCAGGGGCCCAGACCTGCTGGAGCAGCCCTGGCAAGGCCCCTCCCTGGGGCCAGTGGGGTGGGGAAGCCGGGAGGTGCTGTCCTGGTAGCTTGGGTGGGGCTGTCGGCAGCGGGCCCCTCGGAGTTACATTCAGAGGCCTCCCCACTGCCTTGTGTCCCCTCGTGCAGAACAGCTGCCTTTCCTGAGTGTGTGCAGGTCCGTGATGCTTTCTCCACCCTCTGCTCCCCGTTTTCTAGTCCCCCCCTCCCCCACCACCACCCTGGAGGCTGCTCTTCTCAGCCTTCCTTCATCGGCCCTCAACAGCGACTGTCAGAGGGGGTGACGACCGCCAGAGGGGGTGACGGCCGTCAGAGGGGGTGACCCCCCCCGGCTCCTGGTGGGCTGGGCAGGGCTGCAGCACCAGCTGGAGCCTGGATGTGGCGCAGCTTCTGGGGTGTCCTCACATCCCCTCCTCTCTCCCAGGTTGTGTCTCAGCTCCCCGTGGGCCCGGAGTCCGGAGAAACACTCTTCCTGGCAGAGCAGCCTCCTCTGCCTCCCAGCCTCACCAACGGAACCGCGGTCCCCGCTGCCAAGCCCCTCCCCACCCTCATCAAGGTGCAGACGCCCAGCCCACTGCTGCCCCCCGCCCCCATGCCTCGCCAACTCCCATGTGGGCACAGTGTTGGCAGTGGGGGTGCTCACCCTCTCCTCCCCGTCAGGGACCAGCAGAAGTCACCACAGGGCTACAGGCGGCCTCCCCGCTCGCTCTGCGGACGCTGGCCGCGGTCACGGCTGCGGTGTACTGAGCACAGGGCGGGCTGTCGCTCCCGCCCACCCCACCCACGGCCTCATGAGACCGTAAGGGGGTCGAGCCATGAGGTGGTGGGCCCACGGTCACCGACCAGCCGTGCTGGGAGTTCGTCTTCCTTCTCTTTCTCCAAGTCCTGACCTGAAACACCTGAAGGGGCCCCAGTCAGCATCAGCCCACGAGACACCCACGGGCGCCTTTGCGTAGGGACTCGGTGCTGGGCCCTGAGGTTGAGTTCAGCAGCACCCTGAGCCAGCGTCTGGGCCTCCCCACCCAGCCGAGCCTCCTGCCTTGGCCTCTGGGACCTTGACCCTGCCTGCCCCATCCAGCCTGGGCTTCGTGCCTGCTGGGCAGGGGCCCTTCCTTCCGGCCCCACTTGCTTCTGCGCTTGACTGACTGCTCCAGTCCCTCCGCGTGGGCCCTGGCCCAGCGTCTCAGGCCGCCCACGTTCCTCCCGCTGCCCACAGCCTTAGCTGAGCCCTCTCTCTGCCTCCAGGTGCTCCCAGTCCCTTTGGGGTGGTGCCCTGTCCTGGGCCTGCTCCTGCCTGCTCGCGGAGCTTGCGTGCCCTGTGGCTCCCGGCTGCTCCCTGGGTAGCCAGCTGCACCTGCCTTGTCTCTGCGGTCTGTTCCTGACTGGCCACAGACATCTGAGGTTTTCCCCCAAATTTCCTCCCCTAAACCTGCCCCTCGTCACAGGTCTGGTGCCTGCCTCTGCCCACCTCCCCTCTATGAGAACCGTGTGTGTGCCTTTCTCTAACTTCCTCTTTTCTGGAAGCGCCTCGGCCTCTGGCTCCACAGCCCCGCTGTGAACCCTCCTCCAGAGGAGCCCCAGCTGCCTCTGACCCCTTGGGTCGCGCTCCTCCCTGTGTGGCTTCCCCGGGCTCCCTGTCTTCCTCCCTTTTAGTGGGGTGCTCCTGGGCCATTCTCAGCCTCTTTCCTGAGGCCTCTCCGCGGGACCCTGTCCATCCTCTCGGGTGCGCTCTGGCCCCAGCGGCCCCTCGCTTTCTCCCCCTCTCTCCACATCCCGGCCACCCGACCCTCTTCCCCGCCGCCATGGAGGGGCCGCCGTCAGAGCTCAGAGCCCTGAACTGTGTGACCGCTCGCTGCGCAGCTCTGCTGTCCCCTCTTCCCTTAGCTGGTCACCTCCTGCCTCATCCTCAGTCCCCGCGGCCCCCTAACCAGACCCCCGCTGACCCCGCACGGAGTCTCCGCCCTTCCCTCTGCTGGTCTCTGCGCAGATTCTGCGAGGCCCCCTTGGTCCTGCCTGGCCTGTTCCCTGCTCAGTGCCCCACTCAGCTCCGCCCACGCTCACCCCAGAGGACCCTCGAGGCCCAGCGGGAGGCCGCCTTGTGTGCCGGCCGTGGGTGCACGAACAGGAGCTTTGGAGTCCTGGGCTTGGATCTCGGCTCCTTCATGGGCTAGAGCACAGCCACCGTGTGCCCTTGAGCAGCTGACTGCCCTGAGCCACTGCTTCACCTTCCAGTGGACATGCTGGCTCCTGGCGAGGCAGGGTTCTCGGGGGTCTGTACCCCATGTGGAGTGGACACACAAGCTCCCAGAGCCGCTCTTTCACCCCTTGTCCCGTTGACATGTGCTCGGGGTCACAAGGAAGTTGCCTGTGCATCTGGGCTGGAAGCTCTGGGAAGAGCAGGGCGGGTCACAGCCCCCCGTCAGCCCTCACCCCCTCCTGGGCACACTCCTGGGTGCCAAGGAGGCCTCTGCTTTGGGAGGGGTGCTATCTGGCAGGGCAGGGTGGATGCACAGCACTCTCAGGAGCCGCCCAGGCCCCTAACGGCGCCCTCTGTTTCACGCCCCCAGCAAAGCCAACCCAAGTCTGCCGGTGAGAAGTCGCAGCGCAGCAAGAAGGCTAAGGAGCTGAAGCCAAAGGTGAAGAAGCTCAAGTACCACCAGTACATCCCCCCGGACCAAAAGCAGGACAAGGGGGCGCCCCCTATGGACTCCTCCTATGCCAAGATCCTGCAGCAGCAGCAGCTCTTCCTGCAGCTGCAGATCCTCAACCAGCAGCAGCAGCAGCAGCAGCAGCACTACAACTACCAGACCATCCTGCCCGCACCGCCCAAGTAGGTGCTGCCGGCAGGCCCCGCCCACCCACCCACCGGCCCCGCCCACCCACCAGCCCCGCTCAAGTAGGTGCCCACAGGCCCTGTTACAGGTGATGTGTGGGTGACCCTGGACTGGCAGGGACCCTTGGGTCCCAGTCCCATCAGAGTGGTCCAGGGGCAGGGCCCTTCCCTGTGCCCCTCTCCAGCCAGCCCAGTAGAGTCCAAGGGTGATGCCTGGCGCGGGCTCATTCCTGCGCTTTTCTCTTCTCAGGCCGGCAGGGGAGGCTCTGGGCAGCGCTGGGGGCCCCCCGACGCGCAGCCTTTCCACTACCAACAGCAGCTCTGGCTCGGGTGCCCCTGGGCCCAGTGGGCTGGTCCGACAGAACAGCACCTCGCTGACTGGCAAGCCGGGGGCCCTGCCCGCCAACCTGGACGACATGAAGGTAGGTGGTTGCACCCCGATGGCCTCACGCTGCCGCCAGCCTGGCCTCCCTGGCCGTCAGGTTTCAGGCAGGAAAGGTGGCCGGCTGGGGACTACGGCCACGGAAGGCAGAGCGGGGCTCTGGACTCTGGTTTCCTGCAGTGGAGGAACCTGGAGCCTGCCTAGAAGCTCGCCTGGCTCTGCTCATCCTGGTCGCCAACTTTAAAGACACCAGCTGGTGTCCGTCCTGGGCCGTGGGCTCGTCGAGTGCTTGCGTGCCTCTGATTTCCCGGCCTCCAGTGCAGTGTGAGGAACTGGGGGTGTCACCCTGCCTTCAGGGTGAGCAGGCCGAGGCTTGGGGGAGGGGGTGGACATGTTGCCGAGGTCACAGGCTCCTCTGCAGTACTGCCCTTTCCTCACGGCCCCCTCGCTGAACGTGCTTTGTGAGTGCTGCGTCCACCTAGGAGAGAGCAGCTGCACTTGGGGTGCAGACCCCGCTGTGTCCTGGGCCTTGGGGGTGGGAAATGCCCGGGCCTGGCCTGTGCTTTCTGCCCTGGTCAGAAGGGGGCTGGATCACATTCTCCCTCGAGAGTTTGTGCCCTGGACCAGTCTGCTCCCTCCTAGTCATGACCCGGGTTCCAGCAAGATGCAACTCTTGAGTGGGGAGCTGAACACGGGCCTTGGTGTCCTCGAGACCTGGCCCTCGCTCCTAGCTCTGCCCACCACCACATCACCAGTGTGACCCCCAAGGAGTCATTTCACTGTCCTGAGCTCAATTTTCTCAACTGTAAGATGCAGTGAGTTCACTCAAGTGTTGGTTGAGCACAGGCTGGGGCTGGAGACAACTGCGGACATGTCCTGCCCAGCCAAGGGGTGAGGACTGGGAGGAGGGGCGGCCGAAGCAGGCCTTTCCCTCCAGGGTGCGGGAGGGCCGGGGCTTGATGCGTCTGCAGTGGCCGGTGGGCCAGACAGATGAGGCCCAACGGACGGAAGCTGGTCTTGCTCTCCACCCCCCGGTGGCCCTGACTCCTGTGCCCTCGCAGGTGGCAGAGCTGAAGCAGGAGCTGAAGTTGCGGTCACTGCCCGTCTCGGGCACCAAGACAGACCTGATTGAACGCCTGCGTGCCTACCAGGAGCAGGTCACCCCTGCCAGCCCTGGAGCGCCCAAGGCCCCCGCTGCCTCTCTCCTGCCCAAGGCGGGCGAGGTGGTGGTCGCCTTCCCCACTGCCCGGCTCAGCACGGGGCCCGCCCTGGTGGCAGCGGGCCTGGCCCCGGCCGAGGTGGTGGTGGCTACGGTGACCAGCAACGGTGTGGTGAAGTTCGGCAGTACGGGCTCCACGCCCCCTGTGTCTCCCACCCCCTCAGAGCGGTCGCTGCTCAGCACAGGCGACGAGAACTCCACACCGGGGGACAGCTTTGGCGAGATGGTGACGTCCCCGGTGACCCAGCTCACCCTGCAGGCCTCGCCGCTGCAGGTTCTCGTGAAGGAGGAGGGCCCCCGCCCCGGGACCTGCTGCCGGAGCCCAGGGGGGCGGGCCGAGCTGGAGGGCCGGGACAAGGACCAGATGCTGCAGGAGAAGGACAAGCAGATCGAGGAGCTGACGCGCATGCTCCGGCAGAAGCAGCAGCTGGTGGAGTGGCTCAGGCTGCAGCTGGAGCAGGAGAAGCGGGCCCAGCAGCCGGCCCCCGCCCCGGCCCCAGCCCCGGCCCCCGCCTCCGCCCCGCTCGCCCTGGGCCCCGCGGTGAAGCAGGAGAGCAGCCTGGCTCGCTGCCAGCTCAGCCGGCGGCCCCCGGGCCCCGAGCCCCCCTTCGGCCCCAGCCTCGCAGCCCCCGCCACCCCCCACTCAGATGCCCGTGCCCTGGTGGCCCCAGCCGTGGTGGTGAAGCAGGAGGCCGTGGGGCCCGAGCCTGAGCCGGCCCCGGCCCTGGTCACTCTGGGCCCCTCGGTGAAGCAGGAGAACAGCTTTACCAGCTGTCAGCTGAGCCGGCCGCCCCCGGGCCCCGAGCTCCCCTTCAGTCCCAGCCTTGCAGCCCCGGCCGCCCCCCACACAGACGCGTGTGCCCTGGCGCCCCCAGTCGTGGTGGTGAAGCAGGAAGCCGTGCCGCCTGAGCCCGAGCCGGCCCCAGCACCCCAGCTGCTGCTGGGCCCACCGGGCCCCAGCCTCGTCAAGGGGGTCACACCGCCCCCCCTCCTCACTGACTCCGCAGGGACCCATATTGTCCTCACCGTGACCAAGAAGAGCACAGACTGCCCTGGCCGGGCCGGCGGGAGCCCCCAGCAGGTACCTGGGGCAGGGGGGCAAGGGGGCGTTCAGTGACAGCACCCTGTTCACGGGCGCCCCGGGGGTGGCAGGTTGCGCTCTCGTCCTTGGATCGTCCCCTTTGGCCCTCCCAAAGGAGGGCTCCCTACCCGAGGTCACCCGTGCAGGGCCGAGACTTGGGGAGGTTGGGGTCCCTGTGTGAGACCCCCAGCCTTGCAGGTGGAGCTGTGAGGGCCTGCCCCCCTCTCTGCCCTGAGTGTCAGAGCTTGTCTCTGTCTGGCGGGGGGCTCTGGAGCAGCCCCATCAGGCGGGCCACTCCTGCCCCTGCTGCTAGGGTGGGGTGCGCCTGGGAATGGGGGGGCCGGGCCGGGGCCTGATGGGAGCCCCGCCCCTCCCCCCCCCAGAGAGGTCAGCCGTCCCCCACCAAGGTGACGCTGGCAGCTGGCTCCCTGCTGCTGCCGCCCTCACAGCCCAGACCCCCAACTCAGCCTGGTCCAAAGGTGAGCCTGCTTTAGGCTTTGTGTGGCCTCAGCCCTGTAGGGCTTGGGGGTGGGGGCGGTGACAGGACCCGGGGACTCGGGAAGGGACCTGGGCCCTGAGCAGGAGCTCTGGGGAGGGGAGGGGCGGTCAGCTCAGAGCCCCCCGCCTGTGCCCCGGGACCCCAGGGAGCCACTTGTCCTCGGCAGGGTCAGAGGTCAGGGCCGCCCCCATGCTGTATGGTTTCTTCCCCGGGGGTGTCCACGAAGCTCCCCGAGAGTGCGGGCAGCTGCACCGCAGGCCTGGGCGGAGGTGGACGCTCCCGCCGTGCCTGCCTGGCGCAGGCCCCGGGCTGCAGCCCTCAGCCGGCCGTGGTTCTCTGTTCTCCTTCAGCCCCTGTCCCAGCCTGAGTCTCCAGCTCCCGGCCCCCCAGCCCAAATGGACCTGGAGCCCCCACCCCAGCCCCTTTTTGGGACCCCCGCTTCTCAGCCGAAGAAGGAGCCGCCTGGCTATGAGGAAGCCCTGAGCCAGCAGCCCAGGCCACAGGTAAAGAGGGTGACCAGGGGCTCACGGGGTGGGTGGCCACAGTCCCCAGGTCTTGTGGGGGGAGGGGCTGGCCAGAGCCAGCCTTCTGGGTCAGAGAGGCCTTGGAGAGGGGGTGTCGGGGCAGGAGAGGGGGTGTCAGGGCGGGAGAGAGGGTGCGCTGTGGGAGCCTGGGTGCAGCCCACTGGGGCCTGAATGCTGGCTCAGAGCCGGGAGGGTCTGTGCCCTGAGCAAGGCTGGGGCCTCCTGTTGCAGGTCATCTTTTTCTGATCTTGCCCCACAGGAAAATGGTTCCTCAAGCCAGCAGATGGATGATCTGTTTGACATTCTGATTCAGAGTGGAGGTAAAGTCCAGGCCCCACGCTGCCTCCCCCTGCCCTCCTGTCTGCCCCGGTGTCTCTAGCCTGGGCTTGGTTGATTGGGTTTGGTTTGGTTCTTGACACAATGCCTGGCGGGCCTGGTGAGTCCTTAGGAGGCGGCAGCGGGTAAGACGCGTCCCAGAAGCTGGGCGGGGCCCCTGTGGGGTGCGTCTTCAGCTCACGTTTGTTTCATCCTGAGCCGCTGCGCTGCGTGCCCTGCGCTGTGCCCGCAGCCCAGGGTGAGGCAGTGAGCGAGAGAGATGCCCACCTCTGCGGGCCTTGCAGCCTATCGTGGGGAGGGGATGGAGGAATAAAATAAACTGTCTTACATTGGAGCATCAAAAAAAGCAGGGGAGGCAAGGGTCCCAGGTGCGAGGGGGGTCGGGGTCGGGGTCAGGGTTGCTGGGCAGCTGCTGCAGGGCGGAGTGGAGTGGGTGTGGGTGCGGGTGTGGGTGGTCGGAGGCCTGGGGGGCGCCAGACTGAGACACGCGGACCCTGGGCGACGCTGGGAGCCATAGCACAGCTTCGCGTGAAGGGCGGCTTCTCTGGAAGGGCAGACGGGGAGGTAGGGTGATCCAGGAGAGCGGGGTGTGAGGGGGGCCACAAGAGGGCTGAGTCCAGGAGTGTCTGCAGAGCGCCAGTTGTTTTCTGTGGGTTAGTTAGGTGTGTGGTCAGGGGACATGGCGGCCAGGGGCGCGGTGTTAGCAGCAGCGTGAGCGCCCGGGTGCATGGGTGCCTCAGTCACTAGACTGAATGGAGGGGCCACAAGGCCAGGCCGGGGGAGGCCCGGGCTGAAGGCAGGAGTCGGGTTGCTGGTGTCCCAACGGCACTTGGAGCGGTGAGGCTGGGTGTGCAGAGGAGGAAGTGGTGGTGGGGCGGGCGGGCTCGGGCTGCTGAGGCTGACCAGGGGGTGGAGGGGGAGCGGCACCGTTGAGAGGATCAAGGCCCAGGGCTGCTGAGGGCCGCTTAGGAAAGGTGAGGACCGAGACCTGGCCCCGGCTGTGTCGTGGTGACCTCAGCCCAGACAGCGGGACGGTGGCCAGAGCCTGCTTGAAGCCGGTTGGAGAGGCTGGGGTTGTGGGAGGCAGCGAGTCTAGACCGCTCTCTGCAGGGGGTCCCCCGCAAAGGGGTGGGTGTGGAAAGGTGGCACGTTTGCTTGCTGGTGGGATGAGCTGGTGGTCCAGCGGTGAAGAAGACCCCAAGGGTGTGTCTGCGTGGGCAGAAAACAGGCAGCTTCTCTCCTGAGGGATTCAGTTACGTCAGTAGGAAGAGCAAGAGCTCACGAGCTTGGACACTTTAAAGTGTAAAGTGGTGGATTTTACCTCAATTACGAAAAAATCGAGGTCACTGGTTTTGACCTCGGGGAGACTCCCCAGCTTGCAGGATCTGCACTGGGGGCCTGGGGTGCGTTTGTAATAAAGGCGGGTAGCGCCGAGGCTGGGAGGGCAGGGCTGCCAGAAGAGGGGCTGTTTGCCCCCAGGGGCTCAGAGCGTGGTGGAGGGCGTCAGCAGGTGGGGGGGCTGTAGTGCGCGCAGGCGAGCTGAGGGAGGCGGGGAGCAGGGCTGGGCGTCTGGCACTCGGCTGGGACAGGACCTAGAGAGGGCCAGGGAGCAAGCCTGGTTTCTGCATGATTTTTTTTTTTTATTGTGGTAAAATAGATGTAACATGGTTTCCCATCATAATCATCTTTGAAAAGTGCAAAGTCAGCAGCATTAAGTTAATTTAGATCGTTGTGCAGCCATCACTGCTACCTGTTTCTAGAACACTTGCGTCGTCCCATGCTGACACCGTCACCTTCACACACTAACTCCCTGTTCCCCACCCCACCTCTTCTTCCTGTCTTTATGAACTGACTTTTGTAAACGTGTGTGAGTGCAGCCATACACTTTCTCCTTTTGTTTCTGGCTGGCTTCACTTAGCATAATATCCTCAAGGTTCTTCCACGTTGTAGCTTTTACCAGCATTTCTTTTGGGCTGAATAGTGTTCCATTGTGTCAGTACCAATGTGTTTATCCCTTCATCCACGGGACACGTGGGTCATTTTCTTATCCCTTCGTCCACTTTTGGCTGTTCCTACCTTTTGGCTGTTGTGAACAACGCTGTCATGAGCACTGGTATCTGAGTCTGTGTTTTCATTCTTTGGGGTATGTACCTAGAAGTGGAACTGCTGGATCATAATCATTGTGTTTCACGTTTTGAGGAACTGCAGGACTGTTTTCCACACAGCAGCACTGTTTTCATTCATATCAGCCATGCACAAGGGTTCCAGGTGGTCCACATCCTTACCAACACTTATTTTCAAATTTTTGTCTTTCCCTGATGATTAGTAGTGTTGAGCATCTTTTCATGTGCTTACAGGCCGCCTGTGTATATTCTTCTGGAGAAATATCTTTAGTTCTTTGTTCATTTTCCAGTTGGGTTTTGTTGAGTTCTAGGAGTTATTCTTGATATCAATCACTTACCCAGATACATGGTTTGCAAATATTTTCTCCCATTCCATGGCTTGTCTTTTAACTTTTTTGAAGTATAGTTGCTGTATGGTCTTTTCACTCTTGATAGTGATCTTTGACATATGAAGTTTTAAATTCTTATGTAGGCCAGTTTTTCTTTGCCTATGCCTTTGGTGTTACGACCAAGAAATCACTACTGACTTCAGTGTCACGAAGACGGTCCCTTTTCTTTTCTTTCATAGTGTTGGCTCCTAAATCTAGATCTTTGACCCATTTTGAGTTAATATTTGTACGTGCTGTAAGGGGAAGCTCTAGTTGCAGGTCACACTCAGGCTGGCTTCTGACGCCCCTTTGCTTTCTTGATTGGCAGAGATCTCAGCGGATTTCAAGGAGCCAGGGAAAGAGAAGGCGCCCCCCACAGCAGCCTGTGGCTCGCCCCTGGCCGCCCAGCCCTCGCCTGCAGCCGAGCTCCCTCAGGCTGCCCCACCGCGGTCGGGCTCGCCGGCCCTGCCCGGGCGCCTGGAGGACTTCCTGGAGAGCAGCACAGGGCTGCCCCTGCTGACTGGCGGGCACGAGGGGCCGGAGCCCCTCTCCCTCATTGACGACCTCCATAGCCAGATGCTGAGCAGCTCCGCCATCCTGGACCACCCCCCATCCCCCATGGACACCTCGGAATTGCACTTTGCGCCTGAGCCCAGCGGCGTGGGCCTGGACTTGGCCGACGGGCACCTGGACAGCATGGACTGGCTGGAGCTGTCGTCAGGCGGGCCAGTGCTCGGCCTGGCCCCGCTCAGCACCACGGCCCCTAGCCTCTTCTCCACGGACTTCCTCGACGGCCACGACTTGCAGCTGCACTGGGACTCCTGCTTGTAGCTCCGGGGGGTGGGAGGGCCAGAGGCCCCAAGAACTCTGGGGTGCCGGCACTTTCCAGCCCCATCCCGCCCCTTTGTGAGGCCGGAAGTCCTGACAATCACAGGCTCTGCCCCGTGGAGGCCAGAGCAGGCATCCCCACGCCTGCCTCGGGCTCACCCAGGAGGCGGTGCCGGGTCCCACCCTGGGCTTGGGGAGACCTGCACGGGCCAGGCTTCTATTTGACCTCCTTCTGTGAGGTCGGGGTGCACTTGCCGGCTGCGGTCTGCTCAGGAGGCGAGGCCCGGGGCTGAGGCAGAGCCAGGGCCAGCGTGTCCTCCTCTCTCCCCTTCCCCGAGGGAGGGACAGGCTGGGCCTCTACCTCACCATCCTTGAGACGCCAACACCAGGGTCCCAGGCTTCCCCGGGGGGGGCTCCCTGCATCTTAGTGTCTTGGTGCAGCCATGTAGTGGTTGGTGGCAAACATTTTCTGTACAGGTGTACATACCTCTATTCTATATCGCCATACATATATACACATATATCTCGGGGGGGGGATGGATGTGGCCACCCCCGCCTTCTGCACACAGAAGGGCCTGGAGACCACCGCTCCCAGGGCTGGACACGGCTTACCGCGGTCCCACCCATCACTTGTGTTTGACGTGTAGCCACCTCTCCACAGCCTGTGCCCCACCCTCCTTATCAGTGCCACGAGGGCGGGGTGCTTCCTGCCCACATTCCGTCTGCTGCCTCACTGCAGCCGCCACGGCCCGGGGACGGCGGGGGAGCCCTCAGGCTCTGGCTGCCAACTCCTGCCCGCCACGGTCATCACAGGGGACGAGGGGTGGAGTCACCAAAACCAGAGGTGGGACAGCTGTGTGAACTTTTTAAAATAAAAACAGAAACACCTCTTGCTGGTCCATCTTGTTCAATCCACCTTAGATGAGACGTGGGTGGTAGGGCTGAGTCCTGGGTGTCCACACCGTGACCATTTCCCAGCCCTGGCTGGATGGGAGGCGGGGAGGGGCTTTCTCAAAAACAAGAGTTTATTGATAAATCAAGGAGGCCCAGGAGCCTTCAGCCACCCCCACCCTCTTCCTGAGCAAAATGTGACCGCACGGAGCTGGTGCCCACCTCCTCCCGAGGTCCTTGGTTGGCACGTGGAGCTGGGCCAGAGCCTCTGTGAAGACACTTGTAGGACAAGGCCCTCCCCCAGTCCTGGGGGGCTCGGCAAAGCTAGGCACCTCCTCCTGTTCCTGCCACCCTCTGCACCCCCACCACAGTGCCCAGAGCTCTGGAGCGTGCCCTCCCCTTGAGCCTGCAGCTTCGGGCTGGCCTGGGCCGGGCCGTTCTCTCCTTGCTGGGCGGGCAGGGGGGCACCTGGGTGAGACAGGGCCCCTGGAGAAGCATGTCACCCGTCGATGTCCCAGCTGAAGAGGTGGTGCTTCACCAGCATGTCCTGGACGCCCTCCTTCAGAGGCTTCTTCTCCTCCTGCACGAGACAGCCCTCCCGTCACGGCTGCTGGGCACACGGCGAGGAAGCCAGGTGGCAGAGGCCAGGGCGGTCCTCACAGGCGGTGCCAGCACTCAGGGCCCCCCGAGGCCTTGGCCACCTGGAAACGCTTGGGGGAGGCAACCCCTGGCACTGATGCCAGCCTGCCCCACCTGCCACAGTCCCCAGGAAGGCAGGCCCACCACCCACCTCTCTCTTTGCAGGAAGCTCCCAGTCCTGGGAGAGGCTGAACGCGAAGCAGCAGAGGACCCTGGAGGGTGAAGGGGTCGGGGGGGGGGGCTGTCAGATGCTGGCAGGGGGCTCGGCCCACCCCCCAGCTGGGGCTGCAGGAGCCCAGGGCCTCCTCACCGCAGCTCGCACTTGATCTGGACCCAGCCGGGGCTGCGCAGGAAGGACCATGGCTGGTACCACTTCTCCACGGTCGGCAGGCTGGAGCAGAGCACCTCCAGCCACAGGTGCAGCACCTGCTCGCTGGGGGCAGGGAGGGGACCTGCTCAGAGGCCTGCGCCCCCTGGCCCCCTCACCTCCCCTCCTACGGCTGAGGGTCCATCACCACTTCCCGCCGGGCACTCAGCTAGTGACCCCCCTGCTCACTGGCCAGCAGGCCCACAGTGTGCTCTGAGCTCATCTCGGGGACCCCCGCCCCCAGGTCAGCACAGCCTGAACGCCGCCCCTCTGCCTGGTGGCAAGTCCAGAAACCCCATGCTCAGCCTGGCTCCTCAAGGCCGGCATCCCTCAGCCTGCAGCCAGGTCCCCGGTGAGCCCTGACCGCGCACCTCACTGTAACCAGTGTTGCCCGAGGGCCAGCGCCCCTCCCTGCCAAGCGGTGGCGTCTCACGCTGTGACCTTCGGGAGCCACCCTGGCCGCCACCCACCTCCGTCCACCCAGTTCAGCCCCATCCCCCGTGAGGGCACGCGCACACACTCACTTGAGCCCCACGCAGATGAGGGAGCGGAGCTTCACGTCCATTTGTGCATGTGCGGCGTCGTGGGTCACGTTAACAGACTGCACAGCCTGGGGGGCACAGTGATCACCCAGGTGTCCCCAGCTGCCCACCCTAGAGGCCGGTCGGCCCACAGCCCCCCCTTACCCGGTAGAGCAGCTCCTCTGGGGTCAGGACTTTGCCATCTTCGTCCAACCTGAGGAGGGACCAGAGCTGCCTGCACCGCCCTGGAGGGCTCGGGCCACGCCCCGCCTCCACCCCCAGCCCCAGGCTGCCAGGCGACCCTGCAGGACGGCGACCCTGCAGGAGGATGCAGGCGCTGGGTTACCTGTACGTCTTGCACAGCACCAGGCGGGAGTACACGGAGTCGAAGTCTCTCTCGACCTCCCGGCCCGCCGCCTGGGGGGTGAGGTGAGTGTCAGGGACCAGAGGGCGGATATCAGGTCAGAGCCACAGAGTCCGGCTGAGCGGGTCACCGCCCCACCAGCTCCACAGGGTCCGGACACTCACCTCCTCGATAAACAGCCAGGGGTGGCAGGCGCCCCCGAGCAGCGAAGGCTTCTTCAGTCCGTGTTCAAACAGGGCCTTGAGGGCCGGGCAGAGGGTCCCTCTCACGAGGTCTGTGACTCCCTCCGTCACAGCGTCGTCCCCGGCGATGGAGTACTGAGGGGGAGGATGGGGTCTGAGGCCCCAGCCAGCCCCTCCCCATCCTCACGAGCGCTCCACACACCGGGGGACACAGCCCAGGGCCAGGAGGGCGCCAGACTCGGGGCAGAAGGGGCGCGGCCCCCACGGACCGGCCCACCTCACGTGTGCACTCACCTCCTTGCTCCGCTCATCCAGGACTTCCACAAACTTGGCTGGAAACCAGCCTGTGGGAGAAGCAGAGCCCGTGAGGCATTCAGCTCTGCGTCCTGAGGCTCCACCCGCCACAGGGCTGAGGACACAGGGCGACAGACACGCCGAGCAAACCCTGCGCCGCTGCAGCTTCACGGCCTGGCCCGCCCTCCCCCGGCCCGGCGAGACACAGACCAGACGGAGGCCTCACCTCTCAGGCCGTTCAGCTCCCCCACCCAGCAGTGCTCGTCCTTCTGGGAGACGATCTGCCAAAGAAAAGGGTGGGAAGCTCGCTCCATCGGCGGCGAGGGCGTGGCCACCCCACCCGCTGCCAAGGGAAGGCGCCGCTCCCCTCGCACCGTGATGATGTCATTCTTGCGGAAGCCCAGCTCGTCGTCGTCATGGCGCTCGAAGTCCAGCAGGGCCTTGGCCCGGCGCGGGTGGCCGCGTGAGCAGGCCACGTAGTTCTCGTGGTCCCGCTGGTGGCTCTCCATGCTGTAGTCCGGGGTCAGCTCCTGCCGGGGCGATGGGAGGGCCACTGCTCGGGACAGGGCTAGGGGAGTGGGGCCCCGGCCACGCCCCATGCCCAGGGCGGGGCCCCGAGACTCACCACGTTGCAGTTCTTGGGGTCTGTGCACTGGAAGTGGCGGGCCACACGCAGGATGGCTTCCCGAAGGTCGGCCACCAGCTCCGTCTGCTTGATGTTCTTGGCCTTCATTGCCTCGAGGTCATCCTCCCCTGCAAGGTCCAGAGACCAATGGCAGCCGTGGCCACGCCCCACCCCGACTCCAAGGAAGCACAGAGTCCACGTGGGGTGTGAGTCTGATCGCCCCCATCGCCCCACTTTCAGAGCCCAGCCTAGCGCCTGGCCGTCTGCACAGAGCTCTCACCAAAGAGCAGCGATGTGATGCCGGACTTCCTCCGCTGGGTCCTGCGGCGGACCACCTGTGGGCATGAAGTCAGGTCAGTGGGGCCCGGGCATCTGGCACCCAGACCACCTGTGGGCATGAAGTCAGGTCAGCGGGGCCGGGCACCCAGCCAAGCAGGGGGCGCCCCACCACAGGGGGGCAGCGAGCAGAGCCGTCCCGCATGAGGCTCGGCCGGCATCTCACTCGTGCTGCCTTCTCTGACGTGGCCTCTGAGGCCAGCTCTGAGGGTCGTTTCAAGCCTGGGTCTATCCTATGCCCAAAGAGGGTAGAGCTCTTGGCAGGGACGTGCCAAAGCCAAAGCGGTGGTCCCGCCAGGCTGGGCCCTGGGAGCTGAGCCGAGGGGCAGAGGTGAGCGCGGCCTCCTTCCTCCTGTGCCCACCTGAGAGAGGCTGGCGGTGGCATTGGCACCCAGGAGCTGGCCCTGGTCGGCCAGGAGGTAGGCCAGGTGCTTGCGGCGCTGGGTCTCCACGGCCACGGCAGTGAGCGAGCCTGCCAGCCGCATGGCCTCCGCCAACAGCAGGTCTGCGTCCTCCAGCTGTGACGGGATGTCCGACAGCGTGTTGAAGATGGAGGCCGAGTTCTCCGACTGGATCAGCTCGTCCTCCTGGGCCGGGTGAAGGGTGGGCGTCACTGCCTGGCAGACCCCAGCCACTGGGGTGACTTCCCTGGACGGTCAAGCTGAGCACAAGGAGGCCCTGCTCCTGAGAGACACCCGCCTCCCCCCCGGATGGGCCAGTGCTCAGGCTGCAGGAGGCCGCGGAGGGCGGGCCCCGCAGGGCTGCTGGGGAGCCGCCTCTGACG